CAAATACTTGCTCATTGAGCCTTGTTGTATTGACCTGCAGTATCTAATCTAGTTTTTAATTAATCTAACTCTAATCAAAGTCCAGCATTCAATATCAAAACATAGGGTTCAACTTTATCCTAACATCTATACAACTAGTCAAGCATCATAATAATACAAAAAGACGGTTTAGAACAATACACCATCACCTGAAATTAAAGGTTGGGAGGAAAGATGCAAAAACTCTTGAACCTTGAATTGCTTCAACGATTCTTGAATTATCTCCATGATATTTTCTTCTTCAACTCCAAACAATAATGTACGAATTGATGTAGACTTGGTGTTTTGTATTACAAGCTTCTTTAAAGCTTGAATGAATATCTCAACTTTGGGAACAAAATCTTCTGGGAATTATAACCTTGAGATTGCACAGTAAGGATACATGCAGCCGCACAGGCTTAGCTTTTTGCTTGCAGGAACTGACCCATCCTATAGTTTTGCAGGTCTTGCAATCGTAATGGGACACTCCTTGCCATCGCAAGGAGTAGAACGTTTCCCGTTTACAACTTGGTCTTTAAATTTTCTTTTGTTCAGCTCGAGTCATTTCTTATTTGCATCTTGGGTGCTTCATCTTTAAAACATTGTACTTCAATCCTCATCATTCACAATCGTCCGTAATTGATCTGATGCAGGTTTCGAAAGTTTGCAATTCAGTCTCCAAACTTTTCAAAAGATGGCTTTAGCTCCCTAAACATGTGAATCCCTTCTGATGGCTCCACTAATGCTTCAAATTGATCTAATGTAATTCGATTGATCTTTAATTGCTCCAAATAAACTCCAATTTCAACTCCGAACTCCCACACCAATTGAATCCTAATGCATTTTTAAGTCAAGGATGTACCTATAATTAACATAGTTAACCGAAATTAGGTAGAAATACGCTCATTAGCAATAAATAATCAAGTATAGATGCCCAAGTAAGTGTATAAAATACAGCCATCATTGCACAATTAACTTTTTAGTCATGATAGTTGAGTTTTGGGCACCACTAAGTTGGTTTGGGACGTTATAGTTCTTACACGTGTTTTTTTTTTCCTAATCATTCTCGTCTTTCGAACTTCTAATTTTCTCAGTGAAGATCATGGTATGATACATTGTGTCATCTCAAGCTATGAAACTTTTGCTACTATCTTAATTGGAAATTTATGAGTACCCTCATCAACCTGTTACTTTGAATTAATGGGTTCAACACAAAAGTGGTAGGGTGGTGGTTATCATATAAGCACCAGAATATTGCTTGCATCTAGATGCACAAATATAAGACACTTCCTGTTTCTTTTCAGATCTTAGGTGATGGAGAACTGAGTGTGAAGCTAAACTTCAAGGCTCGTGCCTTCTCGACTTCAGCAAAGGAGAAGCTTGAGGCTGCAGGTTGTTCCTTGACTGTACTTCCTGGTCGAAAGAAGTGGGTGAAGCCATCTGTTGCAAAGAACCTTGCACGTGCTGAAGAATACTTTGCCAAGAAAAGGGCTGCAGCCGACTCATCCAACTCCCCTTCTGCTTAAGGCCAAAACTTGTAGCCAGACAATTAGATGTCACTTCTGAGAGAAATGTAAAGCAATATTCAAATAATTTGGGTGCCCTCTTGTTCCATTCAGAATATAATTTCTTTTCTTTGGTGCTTTTCATTAAATCAATTAAGAATTTCTTTATTCAGGTGGTGGTAATGGCATTTTGCAACTTTTGAGTGCTTGAGAGGCTGTCGATGGTCAGCAGAATTTATACATTGTTTGAGATTAATTTTAGAGGTCAACTTTCGATTATCGAAAAATCTCAAAAGTTTTATGCGTTTGGTAAATTTTGGAAAATTGATTATGGAAATAATCTAACACCAGATTTTGAGAAGTGCCAACAATGTAGGAGTCTTAAATGTTTCTTTGGTCACTGAACATTTATATCCGTAACGTTTTGTTTCCTGAATTTTAAAATGTTTCTGAGTGATCACTGGATTTTAATATGTTGCATTCCATAACTCATTCATCATGTTCTATAAGTAATTGAACTTTAAAATACTTTTTGAGTAGTCATTGAGCTTTAACATGTTATACTCTCACTCATGCACTGTGTTTCATTAGTCACTGCACTTATATCTTTATCATATTTTACTCATTGAACTTTAAAATAATTCAGTTTAAAATACTTCAGATTGGTAAATGGACTTCATAATGTTTTTTAGTATAGTTGATTTTTTTAATGAGATTGGACCTACTTAAAAATAAAATAAAATAAAATAAATGTCAAATAGATAATGAAACTCATAAGTTAAGATGGGAATATTGATATTAGTCAAGAGTATAATTTATTTAGTCGTTAAAAGCTATATTTGAGGGGATAGAAGAATGCTAACTTTAAATTGACATATATCTTAATTTAAATTATGATCTTCCTTTACATCGAGAAAATAAAATAGTGGAATTATTTTTTTTTATTTCAATTGAGATCTTAGACCCAAATCAAAAACTTTTTGAAATAAAATATATTATAATCTTCCTTTTCAATTTTTGAACAGTTGGATTCAACGAGTAAAGTTCAGTAATCATTTGAAAGTTAGTGAGTAAAGTGCGACGGATGTAAAATTTGAATAACTAATGGAACATGTTGAGTGACCAATGGAGTGCAAAATGTTAAATTTCAGTGGCCACTCGAAAGCATTTTAAAAGTTCAGCGATTAATGAAACATGATGGTCAATGACTAATGGAACATTTTAGTCATGATCTCTTGCCCCTAGTGAACATATGCTGATGTGGCAAGAGAATTTTAATTATGATTCTCACTACTTCAATAGTGGAAAGTTTTTATCCTACTCACTGGAGGCAGGAAACTTCATGAAACATTTAACTTCGAAATATGCACTAGTCATGGGTTTCACCAAATGGGGTTATACGATCGCTAGAGAGGTCTTTTGGTCCAATAGGCTGACGAAAAAAGTACAAGGAAGTTGTCCACGAGCCCAAGCACCAGTCGTAAACATTTGTCCAACATGGTCGCATGTAATATCACGCACGTACAATGCCAAAGATTTTATAGTTGTTCGAAAACATGCTTTAAAGCTAATTTTCCAAGCTTACGTTTGGCTCATGTTTATAAATACTTGAGTCAATTTTTATTTATACATTTTAAATCATTCATAAGTGTTATCCACTTATCTACACTTATTTCTACCTATTTATAATTTAAATCTTTATAAATACTTTACAAACAAGTTTTAAGCAAATAAATTATGGTTACGGTAATGCACATAAGAAATACATTTGAGTATCTTATATAGGAATCATAACGCGTTTACTAAGAATAGGGGTGGACAATCTATTGATCAAGTAGATGATAGTTCAAGCTGCCTAGGTACAATAATCTCTCCAACGATGAGAATGGACCAAAAGAGTTAAATCGCTATATGCGATGTCTATTTTTTCTATCTACTCTACCATTTTGCTCGACGCTCTAGGGCAAGATGATTCATTATTAATGCCTTGAAAGGTGAGGGACGTTTCCATGGAACGAAATTATCCACCTCTACTTTTTTAATAATTTGAAAAGATCAAATTGATTTTCAATCATAAGTTGGTACTCAAGGTAGAGTGAGTTTCATCCTTAGCATGTTAAAAGGTAAATTCATATGAAGTGTGTAAATTCAACAATCCAATGGGATAAAGCACGTATTAATGGAAAGAACAATGTTATTAAATTCCATCGGTGTTTAGCACCAGCATCTTTCAATTAATTGATTAAACATCTTAAATGTGACATATATCTTCATTTAAGATGTCAAATATACTTAATGAACAGCTAGAATGGTTCTTAATATTAATAAAGTTGAATAGCATGACTTTAACGGAAACATTGGGAGAAGATATTACAATGAATTAAAGCCAAATGTTGCATTATTTTGGATTGTAGGGTTACAAATAGCATTTGGTGACTCTTTGAAGATTGATAATGACAACTAGAGCACGAATTAAATTAGTTGTACAATTTGGTTGACAATGCATGTGTTGAAAGATCATTGACATTGATTTCAAAAACAGTTTTTCAAATGAATGAATATGATGTTTGCCAACTTATAAATTGTCAACCAAATTGTAAAATTAGTATTATTAGAAGAGAAGCGGGATGTTTTTAAGACTCTGCCAGACGCCACAACCTTGTGCTTAATAAGGTGGACTTGGGTTGGATGTGGTGCAACATGAAGTGATCAAAACGGGGGATATATTCAAAAACTCAATGACTCAAACAATATACGAGAACACGAGTATTAAAGACACAATTCTTTTAAAAGTATCAAAATTTTACACGAATGAGAAAAATCTTACTACTTTATTCAGTATTAGTTGAATAGCAATTGACTTTCGTTCTATCTTCTAAAGAAAATGAAAACATCCTAATTAAGCATGTTTGGGAAGTGTTTATGAATGGTTTTGTTTATAAATAGATAAAAATGAGCGATCATAAGTAGGTATATTGGTGTATCCTATGAAATGTATAAATAAAAATGAGCGTTTATAAACAAGAGTCAAAACATAAGCTTAATTTTTTAAATAATAAAAAAAAACTCCAGTTAAAGCATGCAATAAAACCTAATTAATTAAGTAATGTTTCCGTAAATCAAGACGTACTCATCGCCTTCTCCACTAGGTTTGGGTGATGATACTGGTTGATTCTTACTATGCGGGCCTTCAATATGATAGTGATACTTTTGTACACGTACACGATAAAATAGACGTTGGTATAGACGTGCAAGAAATGGGTTATTGACAAACATTGATCTTCTCAGACGAGAAATTATTACGAGAGTAACTACAAACCAATAAATTACTACAGATGACGCACCATGTCAAGAGCACACAACATACAACTTGTTTCCTTTACTCCTTACCCCATCTAGAATGAGTCGAACTATCTTTTTTCATTGGGTGAAGGTTAGATCATACGTTATCTCCTAGGCTTCGAATTTCTTTTTTCCTCATTGCTTAACAATTGAAGACACGTTGTTGACTTTCCTTGGGCAGCGAAAATTGGAAAAAATGATGGTGGATCTGAGAAGGCGGCATTTGAGATGCTTCGTGTTGACTTTCCTTGAGCTATTAAAAATGTTTAATACAAAAAATAAAAACTAAAAACTGGTTTACCGTCTCTTATTTATTGAATTATCGAGCACTGCATATCAGTCATGGCTTAAGTGTGCATCACAAGAATGAAACGAAGAAGCCCACTTCTATTTCAAAGAACAGCGAGTGTCGAGCCAAGAGATTATGTCACCAAGAACGGTCAAAATTCTATCATCTGGTTCACCTTCCAAAATGCAGTGATAACCTCCTTCATACAGTTTAAGTGATTTGTCCTCGCTAGAAGCATTGTTGTAAAGAAACTGGCTCACTTGAGGATCAGTCACCCTATCAGCAGCTCCATGAAGAATCAGCATTGGAGAAGCAACCTGCAACATCTCTACAAATTGTTAATGATCTTGGGATCGAACGTCTCGCTCATTATAATGCCGATGATAATGATTTATTAAAGACGATAATTACATACCTCCTGCACATGTGATTCAATATATTTTGTAGCATTTAAGAGTTCCACGGCTGTCTTTAGTCTTGTTTGATCGGAGTAACAGATTACATTGTACGGAGCCTAGAAAGAAGTAACAAGAACCTTTTTTTAGCAGAAAAATTAATCTTTGAAAAGAAAAATGCATTCATTAACACAAATCATTACAAACCGCAGACGAAATAAAACAACAGACTACATAATCCAACTAAACGAAACCCCATCAGTAGTAGCGAATTAAAGTAATGTGCTAATTTGAGCAGGGTTCATTTTATACAAATTCATAATGGTTAAACCCGTGAAAATTAAAGAGTCCGTAAAAACTTGAGTTATTTAACTTCTCTAGTGCAATTTTATGCTTACAGTGATACTTTTTTTGTTCACACTAGAAGGAGTCTCCTCTAAGTTGTGAATTGTAATGAAGCAGCATTTTTACACATCTAATTCATGACACCTCAAAAGAAACCTCAGTATGATGCATAACTGAAGTGATCCATCCCGTGCAACTCTAGGGGACCTGAGGCGCAGCATTGCGCCGATGGTGGATGCCAGACCCAGGGTTAGACTTCATGATGGATATGGCACCTAGAACACATTCAGCATCGGCGCACGTCATGTTTCGAGTCCACTAGAGCTACAGAGGCAAGTTGGTGTCATGGAAAGTTTCCTATCTCAATACTCAATATCTATTCCAATGATAGTCCTTTTAATACAACTTAAACTATATAGCCATAGTCTAGAATAGCCTTCTCAAAAGCATGCATTCCTAAATTTGCAACGGTGTATACGTTCCTCTTTCTTCTGCTTAATTGTGATTTACATTTTGTAAGAGAATAATTCACGGCAACATAAATTTCTTACACAAATAACATTACATACCAAGTAATAAAATGAACCCCGTACCATGACATGAGACATAATGTCAAAAAACATGTTAAAAAATCTGCATCTGTATGCTAAGAATTAATTTTCTGAAATAAGAGTGTATACATGTGCATATATGAACAAAGCCATTCATAAGCACATGTTTTTGATAAAATCACTAGAAATTATCAGTGAGGCCACAACCACTTCAGAAGATTGAACAAACGGTTATATGGTAGAGCCTATCAGTTACATGCATACTCTGCCTACCGTAAGATGCATATTATTTATTTTCTGAGCCATATTGCTTAAACTTTATATCATATTAAGAAACACATCTCCTTTTGGGCAATCCTAACGACTAAGGCTCTGTTTGAGCTCCATTTTTTGGGAAATAGATTTTTTAACAGTAATTTTTTCCGGAGAATGTATAGGTAAAAAGTAAGAAAAGTTTTGGATTTATGTGTAAAAATAATTTATTGAGAGAATGTATGGTTGAAAATGAGTTTGAAGAAAAAAGAATTTTTAGATAATGGGGATTAAACAGGGGCTAAATCTTATAGAACACACGAAAAGAATGTCCCACTTGTAAAACAAAGAGGCTTCCGAGATGCTCACAAAACCTCCATTCCAAAAACTTCAAGTTCAAGGGCACAATAGCCCCAAGATCCACAACTACCTTGAAAGCCTCTTATCTTTCGATGTAGGACAGTCTATGTATTTCCTCTTATACTCTCCTAGTGTATGAATTCGGGTTTTAGGTCAACATATTAGGTTAGATAGAGGAAGGCAAGAGAAGCACGGGCATATTAATAGCAAATCCACAGTAGAGTAGGTGGAGTATCCTTGTGATCTTATAGGATACCTTGGGACTTAGGTATGTTCTGTAAAATATGTAGTACGTTTCAGAGAAGATAATGAACGAACCATTTCTTTTTTCTTCAATTCTCTGAATGCCAGATCAGCCAAATCTTTCTGGGGTACAAGCTTCGCTTGTGGGAAAATCTTAGACAAGAAAATTAAGACCTTCTGAAGTGGAACTGGTGGTGTCATGTCCTCTGCAATCTTGGAAACCATTCGAAAGTCAGCAATTTCATATAGAAAAATGGCAAATTCAGTGTTGCAATGAATGGCATGAATCATGCAATTTCAAAATCATCAAGAGCAGAAGAGAAAAAGAATTGCCATCAGTAATATTACTTTACACATTGGGGCTACAAGCACTATGCCATCCCATTGACGTGGTTCCTTAAGAAGCGCCTTCAGAGCAATTGCTCCCCCCATCGATTGTCCAAAAATGAAGAAAGGGAGCCCTCGTATCTCCGGCTTTCCTGCACATCATAAGAGAATTTCGTGTGCTTGGACATTTACGTAACGACAGAGTACCAATATAGATGTCCACACTCTTGAATATAAAGGAAAGTGATCGACCTAAGAGATAAAAATAAACCTGGATGGACATATATTTCCATCAGAACTGTGTTTCATTAAAACATGTACTTGAATGCATACCTTTAATTATCGTATATTGTTCGATGACATTATCAACTACGCCATCAAAGGATGGAACATAGCCATGCAATCCTTCTGAGAGACCAAATCCTGGATGATCAATTGCATAGACACCATAACCAGAAGAAGCAATGTGCTTGGCTATGCCTGTAACTCAGAATTTTTGAAACATAAGATATCACCCCATTAAGAAAAACGAGTTGAATGACAGTTCAATGATGTAATGCTAATTTACAAGAAATGTATTTGGAAATAAAGGAGTTACAGGGTAAGGAAAGCTACAAACCTTCAAAGAAAAAAGTGCAAGTATCACCATATCCATGACAAAAACACAATGCGCCTTTGATTCGTACACCCGGCTTTGGCAACCAACTTTTACAGAAAATTTCTTGTCCCTTTGAATTTTTTTCATACCACTAAACAATTTATACACTCAATAGTTAAATTTGAAGAAATAATTATCCTCATTTCAAATTACAGTCCTCTTCCTGAGAAAATTATACTAAGTTACCAAGTTGAACTTGATACGATTATGCTCAATTGATATGTCAAGCAAAATACATCAAGAAAATTAATCAAAATAACAACAAAAAGTTTCAAGATAATCAAGCGTATTATGGCTCACCTCCTCTGTTCTGATCCCAGCTGGAGCCATCTATTTACCACGTAAATAAGAATTCTTGATTAATCAAAACAAGTCAAGATTAAAAATTGAAAAAAAACATGCCCAGCTGCCAAAACATCAGTTGATCGAAGCAAAACAAACCTTAAACAAAATATGATCAAGCTGCTGCTGAGTATTAGTGAAAGCCGATCGCACTCTTCTGCGGGCAGGAGCATGGTCCAAGTTCTGTGAGGCAATTGAGTTCAACTCATCACTCACACCTTCAATTTTTGGCTTCTTCTGGACCATATCGGTCACTGTTTGTCTTGAAAATGTGGGTTTTGGGTTCAGATTTCGCCGGAGAATAAATGGTCTATAATGATTTCGGCCAGAGTTTAGAAATTCCGGTGGTAAAAGTGGCCGGAAAGTTGAGTTTAGGACAAGATCCATTGAGAATCAAAAATCTTGGTTGAAAAGTGATAGGCAAATGGGTACTTTTTGAGTTTCTTGGCTAAAAAAACATACATGTCAAAAATGTGGTGTACGATCGAGACTTTAAAAGCATGTAAATCACATTCTTCCTTAAAAAAAATCTTCTTGATTTGTATCGTCAATCGGGGTCCAGGGAAAGATGCTTTTGTGATGAAAAATAATTCAAGAAAAAGTTTGGGTTAATTTCACAAACAGTCATTGAAGTTACGTCAAAATTTCAAAACAGTCATTGAAGTTTAAAACTTGCACTAACGGTCACTGGAGTATCATCCAGTTTCACAAACGATCACTGAACTTATTATTAGAACTTTTTCATTTTAATTGAAACTTAATGGACCAAAATACGTGAACATAGAAGCTTAAGGACCTCAAAAAGTAAAAAATTCATTCCCATCCCAAAACGGCTGGAAATACACATTCCGGCGAACCCACGTTGAGCCCAATATACTGGTCGATTCTCCTCTTCCACTGGTCGATTCTCCTCTTCCAGCTGACCCTATCCGTAGCCTCCAATCAACAAATAATCAACTCCATCAAAATCAGAAAGCTCCGTTCGCGCTGCCTACCACGTTCGTCCGCTTGAATCTGATTTTCTTCCATCAATTGGAGGCTCAAATGTGTTTCAAGATACAAATCAACTTCGGGGAATTGAAATTGAGGCTCAAAAAACATTGGGTACTCAATTAATTGCAGAAATTACAGCCTCGTTTGTCAAATTTTGAGGTCGAATATTGTTCTTCATACACCAAGAGCTGCTGATTCGATTTCCGCCGATTTTGGCTTTAACCCATGGTTGAATGAGGTGTATCAAAGGTAGAGGAGCACAGCCCATGTGGTCCTCGACCATGGGTTGAATGGACGGATGTGGAATCTTCAATGTTCGGACCATGGAAACAGGGCATCGCGACTGACGATAATTCTGCAACAAATTCAGACTACTAGAGATATGTTTGGGGTAGATTGAGACCATGGTTGAAGTCGTTGGCTATGGGAACTCGACTGGTGATTGCCTGCGATCAAGTTTCTGGCCAGAAAATGAGTTTTCGGCAGTTTTCAGATTTGATGGTTGCTGACTTTGTGAGGTGATTCCGGCCATATTAATTGACGGTATGGTGAGATGTTGGGTGGTAATTGTAGATGAGGTTAAGGGCTTTCCATTGGTATCAATATCCGACGGTTTAGGTGGCCGGAAAATGGCGAAAATTGACTCCATAGGTAGCGGTTGTGAATGGCCAAAAATGGCTCAAGTGAAGGAGAGACTTTTAAGGTCCTCAAGGTTCAAACTTCAACTATTTTGGTCCATTAAGTTTCAATTAAAATGAAAAAGTCCTAAGAGTAAGTTCAGTGACCGTTTGTGAAACTGAATGATATTTCAGTGACCGTTAGTACAAGTTTTAAACTTCAGTGATTGTTTTGAAATTTTGACGTAACTTCAGTGATCGTTTGTGAAATTAACCCGAAAAAGTTTAGATTTGTATTGATTGGATATCTCAATTCAAAAGTTGAAAAAAGTAAAAATGTATATCTATTAGGGGAATTTTCAAAACAATGGCCAATTTCACGTTTTGATCATTCTCGAAAGAATGGCCAAATTTGGCCCATGTTTGAATCACGTTAAAATTTTCCTTCTAATTTTTCTATTCATTTTCAACCATACATTTTTCAATAAAATAATATTTTTCATCACATCAATAATTTTTTCTTCTTTTTCAACCACACTCGCCATTAATTTACTATTCCAAAATACATTCTCTCAAAATAATGTGGCTCAAAGACACCCTTCATATCAAATTATCTTTGAGGAAATTACAAAAAATGTTCACTTTTACACGGTCATTTACAAAAATGATCAAAAACATTTCAATGTCCATTTTACTATAATATATATCAAAGTGCCCTCATTAATAATTTTAAATTCCACAATGAAGACAAAATTATCTATATAATTAAAAATTGTATTGATCAATAATAACTTGATGCATAACTTATACTATTTATTTTAAAAAGTATCATGTCAATCATGCATTAAATGTTCACTTCGCCGTACAAGAAGGTAAATAAAACATTTATGAAATGTCGAGAAGTATACTTAAAATGTCAATAACGCTATAAAATGTAGAGAACTCTCATATTCAGAACGAAATCTCGTTCTAACAAATGAAGTTTCAAGTTGCAAGATAAATATGGTCCAAATATCGATAACGACTTTTAAAATGTTGAGAACGTCATGATATATCAATAATAACAACTATTAAACACAACTTATCAACAAAAACAAAATTTCAGAGAAAAATTACCTTGTACCAAGAATTGTGGAAAACATAATCAACTGTAAATTTGGACGAGAATAAATTTTTCGAAATAAAATTATATGATTTTCTTATGAATTGGAAGCATATAATTATTTTTTAATGTTAATGGATTTTCTACTTCATCTTCTTCATTTTTTTTCCAAAATTCTCGATCAATACCTATTAGATAATAAAAGCAAATGAATCCATTAGGTATTAGCTAGCATTAATGTAACTTCTCGTGAAAGCTACTTGTTCTTCTCGAAATTCAAGACAAATTCAAAAAAAAAAATTTGCTTCATTTTTTATTGAGGTATAATAAACAATTTGGTACTAAATTTAGTCATTTTTGCAAGAGTTATTAAAATCATACACTTTTCAATTAATAAGCATGAAATTGGCCATTTTTGTAAATTTCTCATTATCTTTTATACCCTTAATGAAAAATGAACCTTTTATTTTTTTTCAGTTCGTCACAAATTTTAGAAATAAAGTAACTTCCATGAGAAGTTACACTAGTACTAGGTAATACCTGATGAGTTCATTTTTTTTTTCATTATTTATTAGGTCATAAAAGAAATGAAGAAGACAAAATAAAAAAGCCAATAACACTAAGAAATTAAATGCATCTAATTCATAATAAAATTATATAATTTCATTTCGAGAATATTTATTCTCATCCAAATTTGCGGGTCTATTAGCTCTCCACAATTCTCGATAGAAGGTAATTTTTCTTTAAAATCTTGTTTTTGTTAATAAATTGTGTTTAATAGTTGTTGTTATATATATGATTTCAATTGATTAGATTTTCCAAATACTTAGTAGATATTTGTTGTAAGATTATGGGAACATTTTAAAATCAAATTCATATTTGAGATATTTCACCGTTATTGCGCTCAAATACATATGGGACATTTCATCAAAAGGAAGAATTAAACGAAAACATACTTTTCTTAGCGCGACGGAGCAATGGAATAGATAATGTAAAGTTAATCAAGAAAAAAAAAAGAACAATGGAAACAAATGGGTTCAGTCAGAAAAAAATGTACAAAAACAAGTGGAGAACCTGTACAAAAAATATTACTAGCATTGTTAGCAATAGTTCAATTCTAAGGTAAGATTTTTCTTTTATAAGTATATAAACAGAGGAGTTCCTCAATAATTCAACCCCAACCGTGTTTGGAAAATCAAGTGTTAAGACTATTTAAATAAGAAAATAGTTAAATCAACCAAGTATCTTCAATTTTGAATCCTTAATAAAACGTCACATATTCACTTCTCCCTATAATTGGTAACTGAACCCATTAAATACGACCCGTTCCTAATGGGTTCATTTGCTAGCTATTATCTATTAGGTATTGACCAATTTATTTTGGAGAAAATGAAGAAGATGAAGTGGAAAATCCTTTAATGGTGGAATTATTATTTGCAAAATGGTGGTCGAAGTTAAAGAAAATGATAAATGCATATGGTGAAGTGTAAACCCGACGTATCACTCTCGATATTTATAAAATATTGAGAATGACACTTTAAATGTAATTCTTGACATTATTTCAAATGTCGAAGTTAGGGAACATTTTGTGTGACGCGTTTAACAATGTGGGTAATATATTTGTTGTGCGTTATCTAATCTTCTTTGCATTGATGGCACGCAGGTATGGAGATGTTATTTTATGTCTTTTAAGTTCTACAATTTCACTTCAAATAACATTTTTTCGATTTAATTGATATCAACTTTTTTTTTCCAGAATTGACTAAATGAGGGATAAGTTGGAGCCAAACAGGATGCATATTAAGTTTGTTGCATATAGTGTTTGAAACAAAATGGTATGCACATGAAAAGAATGAAAATACGTTGAAGATACAATTACCCTCCTAGCATTGTATTCTAGTGAGAGTGGACATTATAAAAAAGTTCTAATTTATTTTTTGTCGATTTTTTTTATGCTACTATGATCTCCACTTTGTCAAATATTCTTAACATGAAATTCATCATTCGAGAATAACAAAAGAATCTTAAATCATTCTCGACATTTGAAAAATAGCTTTCGATATATGGACATTGTTATAGCGACACTTGATACTTCATTTGTTTAGAACGAGATTTCGTTCTAAACAAGAATGTTCTTTACATTTCATACAGTTTTTGACATTTGAAGTGTGGTTCTCAACATGTAATACATGTTAATCTCGACACTTAACATTTTATTTGTTAGGGACGATTCAACTATAGCCACATTTTATTTGTTAGGGACGATTCAACTATAGCCACAATACATACTTGACATATGTAAATGTATTTCTACTTATCACTTGAGATGATGAACATAAAATAATTTTCCTTTTTCAATTCAATAAAACTGTAATCAAAATTTTCTTATTCAACATACTCCACCATCCATAGAGATAATGGAAACCACGTTCAATTCCTAATTGCAGCAATAAAACATTGAGGCCTCAAAACAAATCCGAAAATGATCATAGAGAAACTGAGTGTTTGACACCCATTTTAATGGGTTGAAAAATTTTGGAATAGTGATTTATGGGAGAATGTGTGGTGGAAAAGTGATGAAAAGTTTTAGATTTAGCCCATGTTTGGTACACATTAAAATTTTTATTCTCATTCTTCTACTCATTTTCAACCACACATTTTTCAATAAAATAATA